ATTTAATACCAATGCAGTAAATTCATTTCTAAAATTTTCCCCACAAGCAGTAAATCTAATTATGATGAAAATTTGTAACTTAAAATTCCCCCATAACTAGCAGTAAATTTCCAAATTCTATGCAGTAAATTAATAAAATGCAAATGCAGTACTAACCTTTTGATATTCTCATTCATTCGCACAGAAATTCTATCCACACTCGCACAGCTCGCCCACGAAGAATTGTTTAAAATAATGAATTTCAGTTTCAAGTTCTCACACTCAACAACTCTAACATATAATAACATGTTTCAAACCTTCCTTTAACCCGGTTGGAAAGGAATCATATATTAAACAAAATTAACCAACGCAGCTTACTAAATACCACAAATCATAGAATAACAGCATGACTAAGAAAAGGAAACCAACGGTACCCAAACCGGATTAACCCAGTTTAAAACTGGATAATTTATTCTTTTGAAGACTATTATAAAGTCTAAGAAAGAAATAATAAAACACAAAAAAGTCGAAAGACAAACCCATACCACGAACAATTTGCTTTTTGGAAAAAGGACATAACCAACAAGACATAAGAAAAACCACAACAAACCCAACATAAAACGTTGTCACATAACAGGACCCCTCACAAAAACCGCATGAAATCATACTCCCACTCCTGGCCTAACCCACCAGGAAGGACGTCCTGAGCATGCTCTATAGCCGGCCTAACCCACCGCGCTACATCCACGCTTTGTGACCACACCTCTATTTTTAATAAGAGCTACTCAAGTGTGAGTAACTCTTCAAAATAACCGAACTAAAACAAAAAGCTTTTGTGAAAACAACTAACTAAAATCATAATTAAAAAATATTAAACTAATAAATGTTTTATAAAATGTAAATTACATTATGCAATACATAGATCAGAATACAACACCAAGGACGAACATCTAAAGACAAAACGACCCCACTACACTCGAGAGAGAATGACCAACCACAATCGATATGCCACTCACAATCACAACTCAAAGGATTTAGAGTACGACTTGACTTCGCAGAAAAGGACTTCATTGAACTAGACCAATGACCACCTCGATGTTCAAGTATACGTACAGATCCGAGTAACCAGGCATCCCCTCCACGCACAATCTCCACGCCATTCCCAAACTAGATCAGACACAAAAGAAGTTCTCCACGCAGAACAGAAAAACCTGACATAGCCAACCATTCTGAAATCAGATTTGAGTTTGTTGCGAAGACTTAGTCGTTGTCACTAGAAGACACAACGTCTTATGTCTCTAACTCCAGCTTCCTGGAACTTCTTTAACAAAAAGGAAACAGAAGAAATAAGATGTTCGCCAAACACCAACTTCCATCATCCATCCTTCGAATTGCAGAAGAACTATTCTAAAAAACTCTGTAAAACCCGGATGGGTGGAACCTGATCTAAACTACATTTTATGATTGGATAATTTAGATATTTTACCAATGTAAAGTATTTAATATTAACCAATCATGATCCATCTAACTAACAACCCACTTATTTGTAAGTGCTGAAGTTACTTGTAATTTCAGCACCAGAGAGATTTGAATTTAACTTAGAAATTAGTTGGACTCTCCCGAGCACTTCAACAGCCGCAATAGACCAGTATACCCTAGATCTATTGAGCCTAGCAGAGACTAGTTAAACAACCTGAGACTAGATAGTATAAGAGTAAGATTAGGATCGGTATTAGACTAAGAAGTTGCACGAATCTATCCGGCCGAAAATAAGATAGCGTGACGAGCAGACGGTGTACCCTATCCGAAATTACTCTATGAGTTAACCAACTGGGTCCTAACTCAGTAATATCCTTGATTTACCAGAGAAAAGTGTGAATAATCCGAGTCTCGCCCGAAACTTTTTGCAAATTAGTTTCGTAGTATTCAACCGCATCCTGTTCCCGGTTTCTGTTTTTTTTTTTCAATTCAAATCATAAATCTATGCCAGCTTAGGAGTAACATGTATCAGACTTATTTGTTTAATTGATCCGCTCATAAAATTATTCCAGTTTGAATAAGCGCGAGCTTGATTTGGTCCAGATTACGCGTTATTAGACTTGGAATGATTGATCAAAGTTTGTTTGACGTGTTTGTATCGCTAGTGGTGCTAAGTTTCATGTCCCCTCTATGTTGATATCTTTTTTGTAAGAATCGATGAACGTAGTTTAGACTCTTTTATAGGTCGTGATGATTTTTTTTCAGGAAGTCTTAAAATTTTTTCAGGCTCAAATTTTACTTTTTTGCGGTTTGGCTTTTGATTTCTTCTTAAATTCAGTTACTTTTCTTTGTTAAAAGAAATGCAAACTCCACTACCGAACAGAGAAAGTGGAAAAGTCACGAAAAAACGTGAATGGCTTCCAATTTTGAAAATGGAATTTAATTGTCAAATTTCTCAGCAAAAACATTTTTTATAATTATTGATCCAGTTTTCTCAAAATGGGTTAATATCAAATCATAAATTGCTCTAGAAATTCAAAGAGTCTTAAGACCAATTTTTTTCTTGGAAATTTGATAGTTGAGATTTCAAAAAAATACTTGACTTTTTCCAATTGTCTGTTGGCTGTTTCATTTTCTGAAACAGCTTTCCGTTTTATTACATATTTAGGCGTAATTCATTTTCACGTATGTATCATTTCTGTTCCAAATCTTGCGACTAGCAAGTGTATTGCAATCAGGGCACATACTTTTTAGCGGCTCAAAAGTTTGCTCACTAGACTCTGCAGCTCGACTCTTCATCTGATTTTATCACTGAATAACCTTTCAGCTACTCAATTTGCCCATTTAGCGTGAAGGTAGCCGTAGCGTCCATGCTTAGACGACAAAAGTCAAATTTGATTTTTTTTGGATTTTTTTATTTGTTAGTTTATCAATTATCTGTTTTTTTTTTCAGACTATTCTACGAAAAAATATTCATTTTGATTTAAGTAGTTTGTTTGTCTGCAGTTTCTGAAATGCCATCCTTAGTTACTCCTGGACTTTGTAGTATACCAACTCGATTTTCTATAATTACTCTTCTTTTCGCTTTAAAAATTTGGTTGCTTAAATTGTTTCGGCTTCTGTTTATTTGGCTTAATCATTTCAAATTGGACAATTTGGAGGACACTTTTAGGTTTTTATGCATGTGTGCTCAAGAAAGAGGTAAAAATATGAATTTTAAAGTTTGGTAGCTCAACTTTTGTTGTGGTTATGAATTCGGTTTTCGCTCAATGGGCGTCTACTCAAATATTACCAGATTAGTTGGTGCTCCTTAAAAATCGCAAAAGCTTAATTATTGCATTATTAGAATGATCAATACGTCTTGTTAATGTTTGTGCCGCATGTTTTCAGTATTTGTTCACGTCCTCTTGTTTTAGTTTTTTTATATTCTGAATCATTTTATCATTATAAGACAGTTTTAGGCGAAATGCATCTTCATGTCTATATCAAATCTGCAATCAGGGCAAAGACGTTAAAAATTTTGTTCACCGGATTATGTTGCTACATTCTTCATCTCACCTGGTTAGCGAAAAAAATTCCAGCCACTCATTTTGTCCGCCGTTGAGCGTGATAATTACGTCCATGCTTTGGACAACAGAAGTCAAAATTGAAAATTGTTTTTTGTATTATTTTAGTTGTTGGACCATTGTTGATCTGTTTTTTTTGTCAGTTTATTCTTGGAAAATTGCATTCTACTGATGTAAGCGATATGTCATGCAACTGCAGATTATGGGATTATGTTCTACGCTGTTTGATATTATACGGTATTAGGACACCATGGGATCAGTCCAGTCTTTCCAGGAAATTTTCCGGAAGTTCACTGCAACTTTGAAAAAAGTCAATCGTTCGTTGCTCCATTTCTTAAAGGTTAATATAATGGATTATCAACTCATGACGCAATCCTACAACGAATGAAGCTGATCTGATTGTATTTGTTCGAAAATGGAAACACATCTTGAATTGAATTGACAACTCGGCTTGTTTTCTTCCAAATATTATTAGGTATCTTGAAAGTGTCGCAAAATAATCACAGTAAAAAAAAACACGCAAAAATTTCACTAAAACAAAAAGTGAGAATGGTATTTGTGTTTGGAAAGTGAAGAAGAGTGAGATATTGTACCACAATTTTTCAAAAAAATTGAAGGAAGATTTCTTGATATTTTGAAAAAAAAAGTTTAAAAAGTTGTGATAAAAAATTTTAAATAAGGAACTCCATGGTGTGGCGCTGTCAAGATTCATCCAGAAGTTGTAAAAATAGTCAAGAAATATGAATAATTAAAGGCTTTTTGCTTAACAGATATGACAATTGTGTTTTTCTTTTCAAAATTTTTTTTCAAATTTGTTAAAGTTTTTAAATCATCATTTGAATGGCTTGATTAGATAAACTAGCTTTTTGCAAATCTTTTCAGTGTATAAAAAATTCTAAAAGTTTCATAGTTTGAATGGCTTACTGAGAGATTTGATGTTTTCGAACCGATTCTCGGTATGAAATAGCTTTCAAAATTTTTATGTTTCATCGCTTCAATGGCTTGCTTAGAAAAGTTTTGCGAACCGATTCAAGTACAAGTGTGTTAACTGGGACCCTTAAGTTTAGATAGGTCCAGGAAAAACAATGTTTAAGCCTTTAAATTTTCGCAAACGTGGTTCGCATTTGTTTAATTGTATTTTTGGAACTTCTCAAAAATTTGCGGGACCCATCTTTCATACTTGCTGTTTTGCTGGGACCCAATTATCATATTTGTACCCCGGTTCAAGCTTTTAAAATGTTTGAATTTTTTCAAAGATTCAATGCTTTCTGCGAGCCGATTGATTAATGCAGACGTGCTTGCTAGTTCAACTTGAATTGAATTGACGACGCGATTTGTTTTTTTTTAATCTTAAGTCTTCGAAACCATGAATGTGTCGAAAAGTATATGCAGTAAATGTGGTTATGAAAGCAAAGCATGCCTTTCTGTCACACGCAGCAAAATTCCTTAAGATAAAAGCTGGCAGTTGAGGTTTTACTTGGAAGTTTGAAATAATTAAGAAACATTAATAAAAACTAATTGTGTCTAATTTAAGAAAGTACATCTCAGATTGGAATCGGAAGTACTAATTTTACACCATGTTTTATTCGAGTCCTCTTTTCTTCAGTTCGGGTCAATCGAGGTCCATAGAGAATGTGCTTTCTCTTGTGTTGCCCCACTCTTGTATCTCGATACTGTCATAGCTCACTCTCTCTGCTCGTGGCTGGTTTCCCACAGCACTCATCCCCACGCCAGCCGATTTACTGCCATCAAAACCCAAACCCACTTTTGGTCTGTTTCTGTTGTTCCCCATGTCCACATTTTTATCATGATCTCCTACAAAAATACATGTTCTATTACTCTAAGACCGTAAGAGCTGGCTCAAATCTAAAATTTTCTCGAGATGGGGTGGCTCTCCCGAAACACTATAAAGACCCTATTTTGACAAAAAAAACACCGCGAGCAAGTTTTGAAAAAATATTAACTAAAAGACATTTTTATGCACCTATTGGAAGTTTTTGACCAAAAATATTTAGCAGCTATTCTAATATATATACATAAGTTTCCACATGTCAATTGAGATGTCTGATTGGGTATAAATAACAGTTACACACCTCCCCTGAAAAGTTGTATGTATTGGCGCCGAACTTGCCTTTAGACGTTATTTTTCATGTTTTGCGACAATATATATTTGTAGTGGGAACTTTCTGCGCTCCTCACACAGCAACTCCGTTTTTTTGGGCTTATAAAATGTTTTCGTTAAATTGTTTGACATTTATCCTTAGTTGTTGTCGGCTCTTCTGAGCTAACCTATGATTGATTTATACTCTCGTTTCAATGTGGATACTTGGCATGGTTACGTAGCAGTATTTAGACAACCGAGTATTCCTACTCATCAGTAAGCAGACAAATACTGTATTAACCAATCAGAATCGAGACAAGGAAAAAATTAATAAATAATAATTATTTATTTCGAAAGTTCGCTTTCCCATCTCGATTCTGATTGGTTAATACAGTATTTGTCTGCTTACTGACGAGTAGAAATACGCAGTTGTCTAAATACAGGCCGCACTACACTTGGCATACCTATGTAAAGGGTGGATTCTCCTCGCGTTGAGATGAGTGTATTGCACACCATTGTTCTGGGTCTCCACAAACGTGGACTCTCATGATGCTCCTTCGACTTTCCACCCAAGAACAAGTCCGGGTTCATTGAGTCACGATAGACACGAGCACGGGTCGCATCGTCATACCTGAACGGAACAAAAAAGATCGGTTTACTTTCTAGATAATAGAGTGAGAAAAATTTTCGGTAATAACCCTTAATTTTCAATAGTTTTAACGAGAATTTGGTGGAAGGAATTGTGGGGCTGGTAACATTTTTTCCGTATTTAATTAAATGAATTTCGAGAAACCGACTTTTATGTTTTGCAAGAAACCGTCGCGGCTTTTTGAGCTTTTCCGAAATAAAGAACTTCTTTGCCACTAAATTAATTTTCTGACACAAGGTTACAAGTGTGTAGTCGTGTTTTCTCACAAGCAATATTGAGTTTAATATTAAGATTACGGCCACTTATTGGAGAAAAAAAACGAAAACTAATTTTTTTGTCAACAAATGTGAAAATATTTCAATTTGAAAACAGATAAAAGATAAATTGACAGATGGAAGATAGATAACAGACTTTCGTGTCTTATGAGTATTTACTCATAATTGGTGTTCTAACTATCAACAAGACTGCTCATATCAGGGCGAAGCCTTGAATGTTCCGACTGCCTTTTAAGATTTATGGAGCAGTAATAAAATTAAAAAGTTAAATGTAATAAAACAAAATGAATTTTTTTTCTTCTAAAATTTGAAATTTTTTATGAAAATCATCCCCCACACGCCATTTAAAGTACAAAAGGATAGATTTTGCTCCTTGTAACAAATCAATTATGACAACAAAGCTTCTTTCAACCAATTTGGAAAAATTTCTAAGACGGATTAACTCTCCGCTTACGCGTTAATAGCGCCAAATATATCGCGCGTTAATTGTCCCAAATTAGCCAAAATGGCAATCTTCAAACCCCCATAACTTTACGAAAAATAATCACAGATGAAATATCTTTTCAAATTTGAGCTTAGGACAACAATACCTTTCGAATGGCATAAAAAATTCCGTCAAAAATGGCTAGTTAAAAAGTCGAAATTTGTCTGAAAAAAAACCACCCCGTGCACAAATATTCTGTTACTTTCGTATCGAAAGTCGAAACAATAAAATGAAATAATTTTTTTTTCTAAAATTTGAAATTTTCTTTGAAAACCATCCCCCACACGCCATATAAAACACACAAAAAATAGATTTCGCTCCTTGGAGCAAATCAATTATGGCAAATAAGCTTCTTTCAACCAATTTGGAACGATTTCTAAGACTGATTAAATCTCCGCTTACGCGTTAATAGTGCAAATTATATCGCGCGTGAATTGTCACAAATTGGCCAAAATGTCAATCTTTAAACCCCCATAACTTTACGAAAAATAATCACAGGTGAAATAATATCTTTTCAATTTGAGCTCAGGACAACTATACCTTTCGAATGATATTCAAAAATTTGGTCAAAAATGGCTAGTTAAAAATTTAAAATTTGTATGAAGAAAAAAACCCACCCCGAGCACAAATATTCCGTTACTTTCGTATCGAAAGTCGGAACAATAACAAAATCTATGTTAAAAAAAATTTTCTTCGTCATCTTCATTAATTTTGTCGAAATCGAAACAACTGTTAGCTAACTCGAATACTACGAATAATAAGAACGTCAGACTTAGAGCCCAAACTTGGAGCTCAAAATCAGGGCCTGGTATATTTTAACTTTTGGTCTTGATTAATAAGAGAGAGAAAAATTTGCAATTTTGAGACAAGTAATCAAAAATTGATTTTGTTAGCTCATGACTCCCTGAAATTTAGTTAAATTTTTTATTGTGGGCAACCAATGTCACGTTTTGTGATCTTTAAAACTGAGAATCCTTTGGGTTAATGCTTTTTAAGACTATTGAATAGTTTTGTTCCCGATAATTTAAAAAGTGTTTTTTCTTTAATTTGAAAACCTTTTTTGCTCTTATTTCAAAAACTCTAGAGATCTCAGTTTAAAAAATTGCAATTCCTCGTAAGAAAACTGTTCCTGGCATTTATTCCACCATGTTTTCTTAAATTGATTCTGACAAACGAATCCTAATGGAGTCAATTATTTTTCTTCAAGTATTTCATTATACTAAGAATTTTAGTTTGCACAAGTAAATGAAATAGTATCACTAGAAAGGCTTTTTCTCGTAAAATTAGTTTGTGTAACTTTTTCAGTTACTCGAAAATGAATAAGCAACTGAGCGATAGCGTGAAAAGCATCTTTTATTTTGTCGATGAATCGATCACTTGCTATTAAAATTGAACCATGTGCAACAAAAACATATTGGATTTTTGATGAAACAAAGCAATATTTTACATATAAACAAAAAAGTGGACCTAAAGTGAACCTAAAATGGACATTGGTCTCGATTCCACTGGAGACGTTTACCAACTGGTCTGTAATGTGACAAGCTTTTTTTTAAAAAAAAACTCATATTCAAGGGCAGCCGAGGATCTAGGATTCTCTCGAGGGGGGGACGGATTTTCAAAAAAAAAATTGAAAATTTTGTCGACCTTTGTTTTTTAGGTCGACCGAAATGATTTTCTGAGCTCTCCCAAATCACACTAAAGACCCCATTTCGACCAAACTCTCTGCGCCGCGGGCAAACTTTTGAAAAAACAGGCCAAGAAAGGCGTTTTTAGGCACTATTTGGAGGCGCCTTTAGAAAAATTTTAAGGTCAGTCAGCCAAAAATGGATGTCTCAAATAGTACAAAGGGGACCCTTTGGGTCGGCTGGGGGTCGAATCCCTAAGAAAAAGGAGCCCCCCCCCTATCTAAATCCGCAACTGTTTAAGGGTTTCCAAAGCTTTTTTAAGATCAAGGAATCGAAAATTTTTTTTCATCTGAATCTTGCTTTTTTTTCTGTAAGATCGGCTATAGCATCAAACAAGGACTGTAACTTCGGATGTTTTTCATTTTGAAAGCAATTACTACAAATAAACGTCAGATGGAGTCAATAATGTAAATTAGAAAAAATATATATTTTAAAGTCATGATTGAAGCTGCATTGAAGATGTCCCTACGGTTTTTCCAAGGTGTTAGCTTTTCGATTGAGTTCCATCAAAGTATGATGCATCGCTGAATATGCTCAACTAATCAATGTCTCATTAAAGAACTAATACTTCGTTTCTACACGTTACATTAGTGATCAACATTGGCGCGCCATTTTTTTTGTAAAACTAACTGATCGGAGCATTCTGTGCAACTTAAAAAGCCACCCGCGTCATTGTTATTCAAGGCGAACAATTGAAAAGAGCGTTGGTTTTTCGTCAGTCTATGTGATATACTTTTGGGATCTTTTCCCCCTATGGCATTTAGTTAAGAACTTTCAGCCCCTATAAAGAACTAACTTAACGATTGAGCATATGTGAATTTTGCACCGCATAACGAATTTCTCCTTTTTGCAAAAGATGAGGACTAGTTACCAAGATCCTATCGTTGCCCTTTTTTTGTAAAAGATTCAAACTTTTCTTGGGTCTGAACAATGACGTTATTTTCTAGAAGCTGGCAGATAGTGCATATTACAAAAAACTTCTTGATTTGCTTTTGAAGGCTTAGAGAAAATATTGTGAATATTTTTGCAAAAAAATCGATTTCTGTTTTTTTTCTTGAAAGATATTCTTTTTTTTGACCTAGTTCAGTAGCGGATTTAGCAAGGTAGGCGGTCGCCCCCCCCCCCCTCCCCCTCAGGGATTCGACCACCTGCCAATCCAAAGGGTCCCCCTTTGTACTTTTTTGAGATATCCATTTTTGGCCGACTGACCTTAAAAACTTTCTAAAGGCGCCTTTGGCGCCAATCAATACTAATTTTGAGGGGGGAACGCGCGCCGAAAAAACGCGATTTTTTGGTCGAAATTTTCTAAGTGCATAAAAATGCCTTTTTTGGCCTGTTGTTTCACAAATTTGCCTGCGGGGCGGAAAATTTTGTCAATTTAGGTTCTTTATAGTGATTTGGGAGAGCTCAAAAAACCAAATTAGTTGACTTAAAAAAAAGGTCGAAAAAATTTTCAACATTGAAAATCCGCCCTTTTGAAAATTTTTTGAAAATCCGCCATACCCCCCCCCCCCCCCCCCCTGGAGAAATTCTTAGATCCGCGCCTGACCTAGTTTGCAAGAGTTGGTTACCATTTCTGCTCGTTTTCCTTTTAATGTTTGCTACCAATTTCAGTGTTTGTTTATTATTTTTGTTAACTATTGTATGTGTACTGTTCGTGTATTTTCTGTCATGTATAAACTCACTGTTTCTTGTGTTGGTATTTTCGTAGGACGATGAAGAATAGGAGAGTAAGTATGACTAATGCACCCACCGCCATTCCCGTGAACAGGGCAGCATGCCACAGCAACATAACTACACTTATCAAAGACAACTTCAAACACTGATCGTTAAGCAAAGTTTTTTTCAAAGTGGCAAAACCATAAATCTATTTGACTTTTGTGACAGTTACAGAAATCTTTTTAATGTCTAAAATTTTAGAATCTGATCGCCGTTCGAAGCACGATTTTGATGCTGTTGGACATCAAAAACTTTGTATCAATATAAGGCAAATACAAAAACTCTTCAAATATTCAAACCAATTGATATGCGCGGAAGATTTGGACCCGGTTGTTTGTCGTTTTTCACAATAGGCGGCGGAATAAAACTGACAGTTTCAAATATTTCTTGAATCAACGAAAGATCAGATGCATTAGATCACAATGAACTTTCAAGAGCAAACTCAAACAGTTTTAGGCTCATTGATAACAAACGCACTCAATGTCGTAATGGATTGGTTGGCCAACACTTGGCGAAATTTCCGTAGAAACTCTCTTGATAGTTTATCGTGTTTCAGCTTAGAATAATTTTGCAAATTTGCTATCTTCACAAAAGAACCAATTTGGCGCCACTTAAGGCCTTTCAGTAGGTGGTGTCAAATCAGTCCGATTCGGTTTGATGTCGCTGTAACTAACTATAGACTGTCGTGTTCAACGGCTGAGTATTTGAAAGGGCAACTTTCACATCCAACTCAAGTTGAATATTACTTCAATTATTGAATTGTTATACAGCCGTGTCTTACCCTAAAACTCGCTATACGATAGTTTATAGGTACTCGTTCAGAAGTGCGGCTCAAAGCAAACATCATAAATGGTCCTAGATGAATGAAAGAGAAACAGTGTATGTCACAATAAATTGGCCAATACGAAAAAGTTGCTCTTTAACTTTTGGACCATCCGAAAAATTACCATGTAAACAATCTCGCATCTAAGTTTATTTATTTTGGGGGAGATTGTTCCTATGGTCCTCAGAAGAGGAATATAAATTTAAAAAAAAAATGCTCGGTTTTGTTCAATGAAGCAAGGAAAGTTGGAAAGCTCCTACCGTAGTTATATTGACAAAAATATGGTTAAAAAAACGAAAAAGAAATCGTTAACTTGCAAGCAACGTCTACAAGTGCCGCAATATGATAATGGTGATTGATTTTTAAAACTAAACTAAATAATGCATAATATATAGGTGTATTCGAGTTTTAAATGCTATATATTCATTTGATTTGTTACTGTTTCGGAGCCCCTGGTGTTTCTTAAGCTGCATAGCGATTTTTATAAATGCTTCTTCCAGTGTTTTCTTTTGATTTCAGTGTTGTGTGTATTCCTGGGCGAGGGTCACGTGGGAGGGGTGGTGTTCGAGGAGAGGGGGAGGTCACTGGAGTTCATCGAGGACTGTCCGGAGCAGAAGCCTTTTCTGAACACCAGTTCACTCGTGCATTCTCTCTCACCCTCAACCGTCCTTGTCAAGAAGGGAAATAAGGCACGACAAAATTAGATTAAACAAGGATAGCCGGTTACTGTGCAAGTGGCACAGAATGTTCCGACCATAGTCTTGAAAAACACAAAAGTGTTAAAAAACTCCAATAACTAATTTTACCTGCGCTTTCAGGGCTTAAATTAAGCATAAATAAGCTATTGTAAGCCTGCTCGCTCGCTTTATTCGCTCAAAATTGAACTATAAGAATAAAATAAAGCATTTTAAACCAGCTTTTCTCAAGATTGAAAAATTTTCCTGGAATTTCTACATGCCGCTCGAATTACGACTGAAAGCAGGCGCGGATCGAGGAATTTCTCAGGGAGAACTTTGAAAATTCTGTCGACCTTTTTTATAGGTCGACCAAATGGATTTTTGAACGCTTGCGGGCACTTTTTGGAAAATGTCGACCGTAAAATATCGTTTTTTTGGCGCATTCCCCCCTAAATCCGCTACTGACTGAAAGGGCTTCAATTTGAAATATCACTCGACCCATTCAAATAATTATTTGTGGTACCTGATTTTGCATGCAAAACAAAAAAAGTAAAACACCCAAATACAAATGTCCTCCCGATTTCAATGGTTGACCCAAAAAACTAGAGCAATCAGAAGCTACAGGTCAAAGAAAGATTCGATGATAAATTAGTCTATGAGTTTGGAATACGCGAATAAAATTTAATGCATGATTCAGGCTAATAACAAAAACAGCAGTTCATGACAAAAACAGCAGGCTAATAACAAAAACAGCAAACAGCAAAACGTGAAATTTTAATCTTCATGTTTTTTTGCTGGTGTTTTGTCTTGAAATCCGCCCATAAATTCAACCCCGGCTGCATATAACAAGGTGCAACCACATATTTTAAGGCATTTATCTGCAAATCAGGCATTTGTCTGCATAATTCATGTTGGTTTGTAGGATTTCTGTGATTTTCTGAGTCACTTAAAATCGGAGCTGGAAGAGACGACAGTGGCGAAGGATGATGACTTAGCTGGGAACAGAGAGCGTTTTGCTCTGAAGGAACTCGGCTTCAAAATGTTTGACTTGGAGAACGCCACCAAAAGATTACTCGCCACTAAACTTCCAGGTGACTCTGCTAAACTACCGCTCAAGGTATCAATGTTCTGGCGGAAAAGACTTATAACAAAATTTAGCAGACCAAAAGATATTATGAGATAACAAGGATAGTCGGTTACTGTGCAAGTAGCACAGAATGTTCCGACCCTAGTCTTAAAAAAAACAGCATTTTTTTTCAAAATATTGTCGTTTTTTCTTTGGCAAGGTATGAAAAAAGGAGCTGAAGAAAAAACTGTAGATTAGTTATATTCGACAGTTATATAGTAAATTAAGCGACAAAAAAAAACATTTTTTGAAGAAAAAATACTTGGAAAACTAAAAGAAAAAGTTAATTTCGATTTTTTTTAAGGTATGCAGTTTTTTGAATTTTTGAAAATTTTGATTCCAAAAATGCGCTGAAATACTCGCTTCTAGGAAAAAAATCATCACGACCTATAAAAGAGTCTAAACTACTTTCATCGATTCTTACAAAAAAGATATCAACACAGAGGGGACACACAACTTAGCACCACTTGCGATACAAACACTTCAAACAAACTTTTATCAATCATTCCAGGTCCTACAACGCGTAATCTGGACCAATTTGAGCTCGCTTTTATTCAAACTGGAACAAAGATAGCCGGTTACTGTGCAAGTAGCACAGAATTTTACGGCCATAGTCTTACAAAAATCAAGAGTTTTTTCAAATTTTTTCGTCGTGGTGTATTAGGTAAATTAGGTACAAAAACACTGGGGATTGAAACTATCCGACAGCCATACTAAAATAAGCAAAATGAAAACCAATTTTTGTCGAAAAATTACTAGAAAAACAAACAAATTATTGTTTTTTTTTTATTTCGAAAAATGTTTCAAGTTTTTTGCAGTTTTTTGACCTTTTGAAACTGATAATTCCAAAAGGCGTTGAAATACTCTAAATAAACGAACGTTACTCTAGTAAGGCTAAGTTTTTACGATTTAGTCTGCTTACTGACGAGTAGAAATACGCAGTTGTCTAAATACAGGCCGCACTACACTTGGCATACCTATGTAAAGGGTGGATTCTCCTCGCGTTGAGATGAGTGTATTGCACACCATTGTTCTGGGTCTCCACAAACGTGGACTCTCATGATGCTCCTTCGACTTTCCACCCAAGAACAAGTCCGGGTTCATTGAGTCACGATAGACACGAGCACGGGTCGCATCGTCATACCTGAACGGAACAAAAAAGATCGGTTTACTTTCTAGATAATAGAGTGAGAAAAATTTTCGGTAATAACCCTTAATTTTCAATAGTTTTAACGAGAATTTGGTGGAAGGAATTGTGGGGCTGGTAACATTTTTTCCGTATTTAATTAAATGAATTTCGAGAAACCGACTTTTATGTTTTGCAAGAAACCGTCGCGGCTTTTTGAGCTTTTCCGAAATAAAGAACTTCTTTGCCACTAAATTAATTTTCTGACACAAGGTTACAAGTGTGTAGTCGTGTTTTCTCACAAGCAATATTGAGTTTAATATTAAGATTACGGCCACTTATTGGAGAAAAAAAAACGAAAAATAATTTTTTTGTCAACAAATGTGAAATTATTTCAATTTGAAAACAGATAAAAGATAAATTGACAGATGGAAGATAGATAACAGACTTTCGTGTCTTATGAGTATTGACTCATAATTGGTGTTCTAACTATCAACAAGACTGCTCATATCAGGGCGAAGCCCTGAATGTTCCGACTGCCTTTTAAGATTTATGGAGCAGTAATAAAATTAAAAAGTTAAATGTAATAAAACAAAATGAATTTTTTTTCTTCTTAAATTTGAAATTTTTTATGAAAATCATCCCCCACACGCCATATAAAACACACAAAAAATAGATTTCGCTCCTTGGAGCAAATCAATTATGGCAAATAAGCTTCTTTCAACCAATTTGGAACGATTTCTAAGACTGATTAAATCTCCGCTTACGCGTTAATAGTGCAAATTATATCGCGCGTGAATTGTCACAAATTGGCCAAAATGTCAATCTTTAAACCCCCATAACTTTACGAAAAATAATCACAGGTGAAATAATATCTTTTCAATTTGAGCTCAGGACAACTATACCTTTCGAATGATATTTAAAAATTTGGTCAAAAATGGCTAGTTAAAAATTTAAAATTTGTATGAAGAAAAAAACCCACCCCGAGCACAAATATTCCGTTACTTTCGTATAGAAAGTCGGAACAATAACAAAATCTATGTTAAAAAAAATTTTCTTCGTCATCTTCATTAATTTTGTCGAAATCGAAACAACTGTTAGCTAACTCGAATACTACGAATAATAAGAACGTCAGACTTAGAGCCCAAACTTGGAGCTCAAAATCAGGGCCTGGTATATTTTAACTTTTGGTCTTGATTAATAAGAGAGAGAAAAATTTGCAATTTTGAGACAAGTAATCAAAAATTGATTTTGTTAGCTCATGACTCCCTGAAATTTAGTTAAATTTTTTATTGTGGGCAACCAATGTCACGTTTTGTGATCTTTAAAACTGAGAATCCTTTGGGTTAATGCTTTTTAAGACTATTGAATAGTTTTGTTCCCGATAATTTAAAAAGTGTTTTTTCTTTAATTTGAAAACCTTTTTTGCTCTTATTTCAAAAACTCTAGAGATCTCAGTTTAAAAAATTGCAATTCCTCGTAAGAAAACTGTTCCTGGCAATTATTCCACCAGGTTTTCTTAAATTGATTCTGACAAACGAATCCTAATGGAGTCAATTATTTTTCTTCAAGTATTTCATTATACTAAGAATTTTAGTTTGCACAAGTAAATGAAATAGTATCACTAGAAAGGCTTTTTCTCGTAAAATTAGTTTGTGTAACTTTTTCAGTTACTCGAAAATGAATAAGCAACTGAGCGATAGCGTGAAAAGCATCTTTTATTTTGTCGATCAATCGATCACTTGCTATTAAAATTGAACCATGTGCAACAAAAACATATTGGATTTTTGATGAAACAAAGCAATATTTTACATATAAACAAAAAAGTGGACCTAAAGTGAACCTAAAGTGGACATTGGTCTCGATTCCACTGGAGACGTTTACCAACTGGTCTGTAATGTGACAAGCTTTTTTTTTAAAAAAAAACTCATATTCAAGGGCAGCCGAGGATCTAGGATTCTCTCGAGGGGGGGACGGATTTTCAAAAAAAAAATTGAAAATTTTGTCGACCTTTGTTTTTTAGGTCGACCGAAATGATTTTCTGAGCTCTCCCAAATCACACTAAAGACCCCATTTCGACCAAACTCTCTGCGCCGCGGGCAAATTTTTAAAAAAACAGGCCAAGAAAGGCGTTTTTAGGCACTATTTGGAGGCGCCTTTAGAAAAATTTTAAGGTCAGTCAGCCAAAAATGTGAGTTAGGACCGAAGTGTAACTCATAGAGTAATTTCGGATAGGGTACACCGTCTGCTCGTCACGCTATCTTATTTTCGGCCGGATAGATTCGTGCAACTTCTTAGTCTAATACCGATCCTAATCTTACTCTTATACTATCTAGTCTCAGGTTGTTTAACTAGTCTCTGCTAGGCTCAATAGATCTAGGGTATACTGGTTTATTGCGGCTGCTGAAGTGCTCGGGAGAGTCCAACTAATTTCTAAGTTAAATTCAAATCTCTCTGGTGCTGAAATTACAAGTAACTTCAGCACTTACAAATAAGTGGGTTGTTAGTTAGATGGATCATGATTGGTTAATATTAAATACTTTACATTGGTAAAACATTTAATTTATCCAATCATAAAATGTAGTTTAGATCAGGTTCCACCCATCCGGGTTTTACAGAGTTTTTTAGAATAGTTCTTCTGTAATTTGAAGGATGGATGATGGACGTTTGTTTTTGGCGAACATCATAATTTTCTTCCGTTTCCTCTTTTGTTAGGGAAGTTCCAGGAAGCTGGAGTTAGAGACATAAGACGTTGTGTCTTCTAGTGACAACGACTACGTCTTTGCAACAAACTCAAATCTGATTTCAGAATGGTTTGCTATGTCAGGTTTTTCTGTTCTGCGTGGAGAACTTCTTTTGTGTATGATCTAGTTTGGGAATGGCGTGGAGATTGTGCGTGGAGGGGATGCCTGGTTACTCGGATCTGTACGTATACTTGAACATCGAGGTGGTCATTGGTCTAGTTCAATGAAGTCCTTTTCTGCGAGGTCAAGTCGTACTCTAAATCCTTTGAGTTGTGATTGTGAGCGGCATATCGATTGTAGTTGGTCATTCTCTCTCGAGTGTAGTGGGGTCGTCTTGTCTTTTGATGTTCGTCCTTGGTGTTGTATTCTGATCTATATATTGCATCATGTGATTTTACATTTTATAAAACTTTTATTAGTTTAATATTTTTTAATAATGATTTTAGTTAGTTGTTTTCACAAAAGCTTTTTGTTTTAGTTCGGTTATTTTGAAGAGTTACTCACCCTTGAGTAGCTCTTATTAAAAATAAAGGTGTGGTCACAAAGCGTGGATGTAGCGCGGTGGGTTAGGCCGGCTATAGAGCATGCTCAGGACGTCCTTTCCTGGTGGGTTAGGCCAGGAGTGGGAGTATGATTTCATGCGGTGTTTGTGAGGGGTCCTGTTATGTGACAACGTTTTATGTTGGGTTTGTTGTGGTTTTACTTATGTCTTGTTGGTTATGTACTTTTTCCAAAAAGCAAATTGTTTGTGGTATGGGTTTGTCTTTCGACTTTTTTGTGTTTTATTATTTCTTTCTAAGACTTTGTAATAGTCTTCAAAAGAATAAATTATCCAGTTTTAAACTGGGTTAATCCGGTTTGGGTACCGTTGGTTTCCTTTTCTTAGTCATGCTGTTATTCTATGATTTGTGGTATTTAGTAAGCTGCGTTGGTTAGTTTTGTTTAGTATATGATTCCTTTCCAACCGGGTTAAAGGAAAGTTTGAAACATGTTATTATATGTTAGAGTTGTTGAGTGTGAAAACTTGAAACTGAAATTCATTATTTTAAACAACTCTTCGTGGGCGAGCTGTGCGAGTGTGGATAGAATTTCTGTGCGAATGAATGAAAATATCAAATGGTTAGTACTGCAATTGCATTTTATTAATTTACTGCATAGAATTTGGAAATTTACTGCTAGTTATGGGG